TTAGCCTTTTTTATTTTTATTTGTGCCAACTTTTTGCTCCTTAAGCTGTTGTTATTACTTATAATTTTCTTCATTAATTTGGTTACACTTATTACACTTTATTAATTTTATATTATGGCACTTATATAGTTGGGGAGATGTTATATTATCTCCCCAGTTTTGTAACTACGTATTTTATTAGCTTCGTCATTAATAAATGACAATTATCAATCATATGGACTTTTCTTATTTACTTTGGAGCAAAAACAGAGCTTCGTTGTGCTTGTTAACATTTGGCTACATAAACAGAGTTTTAGCAAACAGACTTCAAACAAGCTGTTTTACCGTTGTTCCAATGCAAAAAAAAGCTCTGCTCTGAAATTTTAAGAACTAAAAGACATATTTTCATCTTAAACCAATCGCCGTGAAACTCGTGTGTCTGACAACTGCAGGGTCAAATGGTGCGGACAGTTAAGTGCACATAACCCAGACAGACAAATGCCTCATACATGCACATGTGCTCCGTCGTTGATCCGACAACCGTTCAAAGGGAAATGCAGGCATGACATTTTATAAACTTCACATTTGGTATTTTTGTCTTGTCGTAGGGAATGGAATTATGGTCACCCAAACATCTACGGCAGCAATAAACACTGTGGCGAGCTGAATGCGGTCTACGGACGTTTCACAGACAACAGATGCTTTGAAAAAATGCCATATATCTGTAAAGCAAAACGAGGTAAGCAGCCTGAACTAGTACTGATATGAACTACAGCTAGATGGTGTTATGGCCCTGCCATAGATCTGAGTACTGCCAGTCTCGCACCAGTAAATAAACATTACGGTCGTCTTCCATTGGTTTGGTTAAATTGAAGAGACATGTTGAAGTAGAAGATCAGCAATTTTGATTAGGTGTACAAAACCGACCATCAAGCCACATTACGTTTTATAATGCACTTTTCACTAATTTATATTTTATGTTTTTTCTTATTTTTTTCAGTTGTGCCAACAACACATTCAACTGTTCCATCAACTTTAAGTACGTCAAACCCATACGTGACGCATTTTCCGAGTTGCCAGTCAAAGGCTGACATTGCAATTCTGGTTGATTCCTCCGGAAGTGTTGGCAAAACTAGATTTCGAGAAGCGCTGCAGTTTATTCACGCCCTTGTAAATAGTACCTTTGCGGTTGGTACGCACGGCGTTCGTATTTGTCTGATTACATTTGGGAATGGCTACAACATCGCAGCAACCTTAAAGGACACTACGACCAAGAGCGAAACCTTGACCAAGATCCAAACAGCTAAGTACGTGGGTGGTGCCACTCATACCCACACAGTGTTAAGACTTACACACCTAGACTACCTTAACCCGGCTAAACCTATGGGTGCGAGAAGGGGAGTGCCAAAAATTGCTATAGTATTCTCAGATGGATACCCGGATGAAAAGAAGCAGACGACAATCGAGGCAAATGTGGCTCGAAAACAAGGGATTGAAATATACGCCGTTGGTATGCACACCAAAACCGACTACAGCTCCCTGCAAGCCATGGCAAGCGTCCCATACAAAACCCACGTTTCACATATTGATGACCCCGATAGCCTTGGGAATTTGAGGAGAAACATTGCTAATCCCTGCTTCTTGCAAACAATGACTGTTACATCCACACAGAGTACAACAAAAACGATAACACCTTCGACTAGTGCTTCAACAGAGACAACAACTACTACAATCAGTTCATGGCCAAAAACGACTACGCCCGGAACCAGTACGACATCAGAAACGAATAGACCTATAACTAGCACAGCAACAGAAAGGAATACACTAACCACCAGCACTCCAGCAGAAACAACTACAACCACAACCAGCACCACAACAGAAACGAGTACACCAACTACTAACAGTACCTTAAAATCGAGTACTCTGACAACTAGCACTGCGTCAGAAACGACCACACCCATTATTAGTGTTAAGGCAGTAACGACCAAACCCACAACTAGTGCTAAAAAAGTAACGACCACACCCACATTTAGTACTAGAGCAGTAATAAGCACACCCACAACTAGTGGTACGACAGCTATGACCACCCCCACAACTAGTGCTACGACAGTTACGACAAACCCCAAAACTAAAGCCACGGCAGAAACGACGACTACTAGTTCTACAACAGAATCAACTACACCTACTACAAGCACTAGTAATGCTGCGACAACAGTGACAAGTATGTTCAACAGTTACTGCTTTTGTTGTATTTTGTTGCTTCTGGCATGTTAAAGCAAGCAAATTTTAGCCTACATGTAAAGAAATGTTTTGTGAGTTTAGGATATGCTTTTTGCCGTTTCGAATTAGGGTCTGCAAATGGCAAATGCAAGTTCTTTGTTTATATTTTCATTCCTTGCATTACATTTTCGTTTTCCACAGATTTCTGCCAGCCAAACCCCTGTCCTCTCTACAATGGACGTGAGGTACAGTGTGAGCTGTTAGCCCACGGACAATTCAAATGTCAGAAACCACCAGGTAATCCATTATAGCAAAAACATATATAACTACATCAGGTTAAAGCGATGGTTACTTAAAGTATTGATGAACCTAACCGATATACGTAGAACCGATTCGCTATCTAGTACTCAGTTATTATATTATATTATATTATATTATATTATATTATATTATATTATATTATATTATATTACAGACCGATGTGAAGTGAATAACAAATTCTTCAAGGAGAGAGAGGGTTGGACTATTGGCTGTAAGAAGCGATGCATATGCATTGTGCCAACCATGAACTTAACGTACTGTGAACCTTTGTAAGTATGTCGTTCATTCACCGAATTAGTCGAAGAGTGACTTGCGTTCAGACTGATAATAATTACAATTTGTGTGGAATATAGGTTCACATGTAAAATAGAAAAAAGGTGTATATTTTCTGACTGGCAATTTGCTGGTCAGATTAGCTTGATTGTCCAGATAGGCAATGATGCTAATGGTCGTATCTCTTCGATTTTTTGATGTACAGAAAGAGTACCACAAGAAATGTCCACATCGATCTCCACGGCCAACTAGTTAATTGGGAGGTAGTATTAACTCATTTATCAACGCTGATTACAATGTAATTATTTCTCACAAACAGGTGTCCTGAGTGGTCCGTGGTGCCCGCTGGCTGTACCCTGATGCCCCCTAAACCTGGCAAGTGCTGCGAGGAATTAGATTGTTCCAATCTGACACCCCCGCCTTAGAGAACACACGTCGACCTGCAGAAAAGATAGACATCAAACCCACCATGCTAAGAAACTAGTACATAAAGTCGCCTGATTCATGAGTACAGGTAATATGATTGTAAAAACCTATTGGAACAGTTTTGCTAGTACTTGATGACAATTGATTATAATGATAATGGTGGATATTAACAATATAAGCCAATATTCAAATCCCACTACATACAGAACAATGTAGCAGTGTAATTTGTTCAGACATTAGATTAATGAAATTCTTGATGAAGCCACTAATTTTAGACGGTAAAAGCATAAATATGTAAAGATTCCTTTTTGTTGACAGAATTTTTGCTCCTTGTTGTGTTTTACATTAATTGTTGTTACAATTTTAGAGATATTACATTTAATAAACCACACTGAATTGTTATGGGCCGTGTTAATCATTTATTATAAGCCAGCTTACAATTAAATATTTATATATGACACCAAGTAATTTAAAATCTTAATCAAGCCACCAGAATTATTACAGGTTTATCAGCCGCCATATCGGTGGAGGGGAAATAGCACTAAAGTAAAATAAAATATAAAGGTTGATTTACATGGAATAATACGTTGGACCATGAAAGAACATTATACTGCTTCTTCCTCCTCACTGGCACTGCACGGATCATTTAATGACAGGCTGTTTAACCCATAACCATTAACCATCGTCATGAATAATAAATATTTAAATTGTGAACGGATCCTGCTTTTGTGGGCAGCATAATACTTCGCACTTAATCCAGTAAACATTTCCCCAAATCATCTCATAACTGAGCACGTCAGATTTTATTACCATACACGTATTATAACACATTTCCATTATGTTGAGTCCATTGCACATGACGAAGAGCATTCTTCGAGAATGATTAAATCTATTTTCGGATAGAATAGCCCAAGAGACTTCTCTGGTCGGACATGGACTGCGAAAATTCGGTCACCCTTTTCAGCGTGGCATTCCATGACTGATAGAATTGCTCCTCCTCCTCAGGATCGGCCACCTGATGTCGCGCTATGCGTGTGTTCCAGACCGAAGCATCTGGGCGACTTGTCTTGGATCCGGGCAACTTTGCGCGTGCCACCAAGTGGATAAATGTCCATACGCGATGCACCAACATGCTGAAGAACTGGATGATGAGTAAAAGACAAAACAGGAACAGAAATGCCAGCCCTGTAAAGACAGAAACACTAACCATGTGAAGAGGAGCATAAATGTTACCATAACTCCATTATTCGTTGCTACACATATCCTCACAGTATGTCACTCATATAAAACATACTTTGTGCCTTTGATCAGTATGAAAGTAATGTAACGGTTTTAGCAAAGGAACTCAAAACTATTATTCTCGCATTTCTTACACAAATTTCCGTTTATTACAAAAAGCCATATTTTAATACTTTGACGTAAGTACCGGTACATGTAATACGAGTAGAAAACGAAAGCCACGTACCGACTGGATTGTTTCCAAACACATGCAAGTCTGATCCCTTCTTATCGTTTGCTGGAAGGTTGCTCAGCGTCAGAAACAAGACAAGCCAGAACATGTTGGCCACTGCAAACCATATAAGGGAAGTTTTCCGGATGTCATGCAGTTCTCCTGGAAAAATATTCTTATAGATTGGTACCATATTAAAGTAGTATTACTTCACCTGGATAAAAACACCCTTGAACACTCAATGAGGTCTTTCCCAGCGTGCGTCTACATTTTCATTTTTATGTGGAGGTACCTTAAAAGGACGCAAAGTACTGCATTTTGCAATAGTAGAATCTGTTCGAATCAATAATATTAAACGTGCTTATCAATTGAATAAGAAGCGCCTGTCCAACAGAAAATATACACGGGATAATTGCCAGAACATACCCGCTAACCGATCCTCCCTCTCTGGAAAAACCGCCTGTGGTTTGAGACGCAGTTCAACCAACTGTTCCCAAAATCGGTCCTCCGAGTGGTCAGAAGTAGCCACAGCAGACGACGATGACCCAAGCATGTTGTCATCGGACTCCAGGTCAAGGTTAGGCGAAGACGAGGCCTCAGCCCTGACGAGTTTTCTGACCTCTTCTTTCACTTCCATTTGGACCCATTCAGCTGAAAGATATGGCAAGGTTACTGAAGTTAATCTCTCCTA